ATTATTATGCCATCTCAAGTTTCTTGCATTTCTATATATATATTTAAAGGACCATGTAACTCTGTAGAACAGCTTGTCTTTTTCCTAGTTCTAAAAAATAATAAGCTCACTAGTTTTTCATCGAGTATGTTTGTTTTGTGCTTTCTGTAAGAACTGTACATCATAGGACCTTGCTGTTCTTTTTTCCCCACAGTTAGAAGAGCATGTGAGGAAGGTCCCTTCTTTGTTCAGATATCAGGGGAATGTCATCCTTCAGCAGAAATGAGATGGAAAAGTGCAGAGTTGAGAGTGAAATGTGTGCAACTATTTATATAAGAGTCTGTTAATGGTCAAAAAATTGTGAATACAGAATTCTTGACTGTGTTTAACTTAAAATTAAAGATTTCCCCCTTTTTATCTTATAATAACATTTTTATTGGCATAGAAAATAAATTAATGGAACTCTACTCTTGCTATTTATGAAGGATAATCATAGAGAAGACTATATTTCTGTAAGTTTTTCTGTTACAATATTTCAAACAAACCCATGGCCAGAAAAGAAATATTTCTTAATTTAGATGATTTAGATCGAATATCAAAAGAATGTCAACTATGTTTAATACAAATTAAACACAACAATGCATCTAAATGAAAAATTATCATAGTGAAGGTGATCTTGCTGGGCATAGTGTCACAGTCTGTTATCCCAGTGACTTGGGAGACTGAGGCAGGAGAATCACAAGTTTGAGGCCACACTTGGCAACTTAGCAAGACCCCATCTCAAGGTAAAAAAATAAAAAGGTCTGGGGCTGTAGCCTAGTGGTAAAGCACCATTGTGTTTTCCATCCCCAGCACTGAAAAAGAGGGAAAAAAGTGATTTTTTTGGGGGAGGGTGATATATATTCTTAAAAGTGGCATTGTAATGAGAACAGTGAAAAATAGGTATTCTTAAAATTTTTAAATGTTTTGCACTTAATGTTTCTTTTAAAGAAGACTTCAAATGATATTTGGTCATTTAAAAAATACTGACTGAACATATCATAGTGGAAACATTCATCAGGTTAGGAGGCAGGAGATCTGGATTCTAATTTTGCTCCCCACTGATGAGCAATATGATCTTGAGAAATTTGCCTACATTCTATTAGCCTCAACTTTCAAACTGCCACAAGGCTATTTTGGCTGAATTATTTCCCACTAAAGTTCATATATGGAGCCAGGTGTGGTGGCTTATGCCTGAAATTCCAGCCTCTCAGGAGGCTGGAACTTGAACTTGAACTTGACTCAAGTTCAAGGACAGCCTCAACTTAGAGACACTCTGTCAGAAAAAAGTAAAAAGGACCGTGGAGTGGTAAAACTCACGATGAAAAATATTAAATCTAAATTAGATATACTTTGCTAAAAATAAAAAAAAGTAAAGTTAAAAACAAATATCTTGTTGCAACGGTGCTGGGAAAACTGATTATACATAGGTAGAGGAATGAAACTAGACCCTTATTTCCCACCCTGCACAAAAATCAAATCAAAATGGACCAGCAGCCTCGGAATTAGACCAGTAAGTATAAGTAGTAAAATAAAATAAAAGTAGGAATTAATAAAATATCATGTTACAGTTTTTAGATAGGTACCTGATTTATAGCTGATTTGACAAGCCCTTGGAAATGGGGTTGCCTTCTGATACAGCTTTTGGAAATGTCAGAAATGTACATTCTCTAATTTTTCTGGTTTGTGATAAAATGGGTCTTTGTAAATTTCTTCTGTATGTTTCTGAATGTCTCAAATTTTACACTGAATACATTGTATTTTATTTATTGAAAGAAAACAACACCTTATTTCATTGCTATAACTCCTCTAAGTGAAAAATAATATGAGGCTTTCAGAGCTTCTTCGTAATATGCTTATATAAGTTTGTTGACAATATAACCCCTATAATATTCTTTATTTAGTACACTTTTTTAGGATATATAGAAAAGCTTGGTAAACATTAATTCACATATAAGCACATGTGAATACTAATCAGGATAACCTAAATTTTAAAATGACGAGGACAATAACCAAAAGAATAGTCTACTACTTATGAGATTAAGTAGAAAACAAGTGTATCTTACCTGATAAACAGTTTATATCTTTGTCCATCATCCACTCTAATGGTAGTGTGAATGCTTTTCAATTTTGTTTCACCAGCACAGAAAAAGTGGTACTAGAAGAAAAAAATATGTTTTTGTTAAACAGATTTTTACTATGAAATTAATATTTTATGGTTGACACAATCTTTACCAATACTTTTCGTGTTGCTTTGAGAATACAATAAGTTTGAAATTTAAGAAAAGTAACACCTCAAATATGCAAGTAAAGAGTGCTAAATTTCAAATGTAAAACTCATTGAACACAAACATTTGCCAGTCTTCTAGTATGATTCAATCTTTTCTAGTGTTTTGGAGAACATGGTTGATAAAGTTTTCCTGTTTTGCTAGAAGAAGCAAATGTTATTGGTGAGCACACACTAGCAGTTAAACAATGCAAAGACTAGTTAACACAAGCTAGAGGCCAATGTTAATGTCACAGGAAGAGGGATTTAAAGGTTCTAAAAGTGAACCACACTTTCCAAGCTTTCTGATGCTTGAGGGCATCTAGGACCATCTGTAGGATGACTGCTAATGGGCCAACGAAATCATGGTCTAGAGAGGGAAACCATGTCTATATTGGGTATGAATGAGCAGGTACCCCTGCTAATCCTATGGGTGGGGGGGCAATGATTTATTAATTTTCGAAGCAAGCATGTGCCTGTAAGAATATTGATTATATTGGGGTTGTTTCTCCCAAAATACTTTAAAGATTTTTATTCTATCTACATGGTATCTATAACTAATATATGTGTTAAGAAACAGATGCCTAGTGTTTCATAACTCCTATGCATTGAGCTATATTTCAGGTGGTATATCTAAATCTTCACATAAGTAGTACATATATAAATACATTGATTTATATTTTGATTTTCATAATATTTATCCACTGCAAAGAGTTCCTTTCCTTTATCAATTTATAAACTGTAAATTGATTTTAAGAAGTATTTAAGCAACATTAAAATCTTCAATACAGATATGCACTTTGTAGAAAAAAATTTCATACCATTTTGCTAATCATTCCTCTCAAGCCATGTATAACTAAGTAAACATTGTTATTTAGTGAATTGGTACTCTGTGTCCAAGACAGAATATTTAGAACTTTTAATAACTTGGTAAAAATTTATATGCTTTTTATGTTTAATATTTGAAATTTACAAACTCAGTTAAGATAGTTATTTGAGCTAAAGTGATAATATATTAACTAAAGTATACATGTGTGGGATGATCTTAATTTGTTCAAATATACTAGAAAATTATTAGTCATTACTAAATTATTACTTTTCTGTTATATTCAAGAATGTCAAAGTTAAACATTTATTAGATACTTTACATACAATTCTATTAATATTATTTGATTTTACCTTTTATTAAAATAGCTTCAGTACTATATATATGTAAATATAAATACATACAATAACTACTGTTTTAAAATTATTACTCTATATAGTGAATTATAAAAAGGAGTATGCAAGTGTCAAATTAAAAAACAAAAATTTGTGAAGGAGATATCATCTATTATCTGCAGTATTTAGAGGTGGAAACTGAGGTGAGTGACTTGACATTAGTTAATGATGTATAGTGATTTATTGCACAGCTAATAAGTGCAATTGCTGATATTTGAATGTTTACAGTGAATATACCTACTTATAGTTTTGGTATGAGTAAAATATTTTCTTAAAAAATAAGTTTGACATATTAAACTTTCCTAAAAACTTAAATTCCTTTTAATATTTTTATAAACAGCTCTGTCATTCTAGAATTTGAATAAGCCTTAAATTATGATCTCTCTAAAAGTACAGCCATAAATATGTCTTTGTGAAAACTGTAATGTAAATGCAATCCCCTTATGATTATATGTAAAAATTGGTGTGGAAATTGGAGCACAGTCTCACAAATCATCATAGAACAGAGGAATCTAAAAATCATGGTTGAATAACACTGAAATTTCCTGTAAATCATTTTAAGCAAGAATAATGTGAAATGAAAAGGATATGGATTCTTTGATTTTTATAAAAGAGTAAAATTCCTGATGAACTATCTTTAAAACAGAAGAGCATGTGTAATACAGTCACTCTCTGAGAGCTTTAGTTTGTCTGCAGGTTATTTTTAAGATGCAGGGAGAAAACAGCTAACTACTCTCACATACAGTTATTACATACTAGACACCATTCTATGTGTCTGTAAGAATTTATTCTTTTTGACATTTATTTCACAATATGTATTTATTTTCTAATTTAAATATCACAATATATATTTATTCTTCCACACATTTTACAAGTGAGTAAACTTAAGCACAAAATAAATACAAAGTTCCAAGCTCCTGAGAGCAGAGCTGGGAATCAAACCCTGAGAGCTCAGCTCCAGTCCGAGATTATGAAATCTTACTACCTTTTCTTAAAATAAAAACTGTCCAATAATTGCAGTTCAAAAAATAGTAGTATTATTATTACAGACATGCCAGTTTATATTTTCTTTGTTGTAAAATCTAAGGAAAAGAAATTCTCCAAGTGTTTTCAACCATTAGTTTTATAGTTCCTAAATGTCCTGGTTTAACATACTACAAGTTAATTTTTTTTACATTTCAAAGTGTAAATAGTGACATGCCTTCATACTCCATTATTACTTAAAACATTTTTATTCACAACTCCTACAGGTTCTGGTACTTACTCATGCTGCCTTTGATTAGAGATGTCCTCAGTGGTGAAAGCAACTAGCTGTTTCAGAATTTGGTCATGGCAGTTGTATTAGCAGAAAAAAAAAAAAATCACGCTGCGGGGAAACATTCTGACATGACCAATTCTCAATTCTCTATATTATATGAGAGTTACCATCTCTTACATTTGCTGTATTTTTTGCTTCATCTCAAAGGGCAAAGGAGATTTCTCTCTTAAATGAGAAAAGTGCTCTAGAGCAGGGACAAGATAATTTTTTTAGAGGATCAGATTGATGCAGGGTGATTAGTTATATTATTTCATTCATTATGTAATTCTATTTTTTTCTGTTTTTTACTGGTTTTGATATTATGTGTTATCTACTAAAAACAACATAAGTTGTTTTTAGTAGATAACACATAATACCAAGTGTGTTTTGTTTACTCCAGAATCTTGAGAACCTGGCATAATGACAAGTGATAGCTATGTAGTTCAATGAATGAATAAACAGATACAAGAATGAATCAAAATATTTCTGCTTTTATGCTGCTATGTTGAGTTGATATTTGTATCAGCTATTGTGCTAAATTCTCTGACTGTATTTTATTACTTAAGAAAAATGAACATTTCAACAAAATCAATCTACTAGAAGCTTAAGGTACCTTGACCATTCATGGAAATTCATGGTGATATATCACATCATGAAAGGAATGGTAGGAAAAATACAATTATTGTTGCCTATAGAGGACTGCTGATCTGGTTAATTTATTGCAATGATGATTAGAATAATATTACTAAAGTAAATTTTAGAATACTAATATGAGTAATTTGTTAAGATACAATAATGTTAGGCTTAGAACATACACTTTAAAATCAAAGTTGGCTTTTAAATTTTATTATATGTGTAATCTTGGGCCTTTGAAAAATGTTGTGACCCTTTACTTCAAACATTTACTGTTCCTTTGAAAAATGGTGAAAACCCTCTCTTCTAATTATCTTGAAATCTCTGTTCCTCTTTGTTACACTGATTTGATTATTACGTAATGTATGCATATATTAAACATCACAAGGCACCTGTAAGTATATATAGTTATTATGTATCAATCAAAAGGACCCATAATAAGAAAATTATAAAATCTACCATGTGTTCAATTTATGTATCAATCAAAAGGACCCATAATAAGAAAACTATAAAATCTACAATGTGTTCAATCAGCAATTTTAATTTTTTAACCTCAGAATTGTTTTGCACTCTTAAAAATTATTAAGATTTTCAAAGAGTTTTTTTTAAAATTGGGTTATGCCTGTCAATATTCACAAAATTAAAAATTGAAAGTCATCGTGAAAATTAAAAAAAATATAAGAACACAATATGTATCCTCTGAAAATTTCCATTGTATACTTATGACAGTGAGAGTGAAAAAGATAAACAGTATGTTAATATTATCACGAAAAATTTCTTCAGGACTATGAAAGGATGTTGGAATTATTTACATAAGGGTCTCCAGAGCACACCTGCCCGTTGAGATTATAAAAAATGGTAACAATGATAATAATTGGGAGAGTGGGAAACTGGAAAACATAAAAGTGATCAACATAAAAACATAAAGAAAAGAAGATAATTCAAGTTAATTCAAATCATATTGTTTTGATACATATAACTACTAAAGAGAATATATATATATAGAACAGAGACAGCCTGTTGGTAAGTATAATAGATAAAGAAATGTTTAAATTTTATTTCAATAATAACCACTAATTCAGGCAGTCAACCAACTTTTTCAAATTTTCTTTAAATTAAATGATCTGAAGAACTTACCTTTAAAGTACCATTTTCAATAAACAATTGAATAAAAAATCCATCTATTGAATTTGATTCTTGCTTGACATACAGCAGGAGTCCATAAGGACTGAAGGTCTGAAATTCCAGGGTGATGTTATTTTGTGGATTTAAAAACACATTCTGAAATTCTAGATAGGAATCTCCGTAATAGCAAACACAACTGAAATCTGTGGAGCCAGAAAGAATATACAGTTTAGGTTGGAATTAAATATTTAATACATGGGGTTTACATTATCCATATTAGCATAATGTTTTATGAAGTGGCTCATATGTGACTCTTTCCTCATATTCCAAGCTTGAGCACTTATTTCCTTTGGCATAGTCACAGAGGAAATAATCATGTAAATGGTTAGGCCTTATTACTTTGAATTTGAGGGTTTCATTGTAGAATCTCTTTGGAAGGCAGGATGTCTAGATGATTATTCTTCAACTGCTTTACTTAGACTTTTTAAAAAGTCAATGGAAATAGGAACATTTTCTAAAGACATCCTTATATTTATTGCTTCTATAAAATATTGATACAAAATTATGATTTATGTTATTTTTGTTATTCTGGTGGGGGTGGCTTATGAAGAAATGATAGACAATACCTGAAACCAGATAAACTGTCACCTTTTTACATCAATATTCTATATTATTTAAATTTCTTTATAAACCTCCCTTGCCTTCTGAATGATATTTTCATAAGCATAATATTTCAAATAAAATTTGAAGACATCTTGAGCAAAATATTTTAGTAGTTTATTTATTTTTATTTTTATTTTTAAAAGAGAGAGAGAGAATTTTTTAATATTTATTTTTTAGTGTTCGGTGGACACAACATTTTTATTTTATTTTTATGTGGTGCTGTGCTGAGAGCCACAGCCAAGTCGGAATGGGCTCCTGGCATTTTGCCAGAGGGAGTGGTTTGTGAAGTAACCTCAGCGAGCCATTAAGTGTGGAGATTCCTTATTGGTTGACTGCTGTGTCTATTTTATGTTAATTAAGGTAAGCTGTGTGGAATATATATATACCCCTCCAGTCCTACAATAAACGGCTCCCACTCCAGCTGTATCAATCTACACAAGTTGTTCGTCACCACCCCCCCTCCTGGTTATTTTGCTGCAGCTGGACTGCGGCAGTGCTGAGAATGGAACCCAGAGCCGCGAGCATGCCAGGTGAGAGCACTATGGCTTGAACCACATCCCCCGCCCATATTTTGATATTTTAATTTTGTAAATTTACAAATGTATGTTTAATGAAACTATATAGCTTATTTCTTAGAATTAGTTGCTATACATTTTACATTATTATTTAGGGCATTCTTAACCTGAAACACTCATTTTGTTTATTATTTTAATTATTATAATTATTAACATTTATTGTACGAATTAATTGCTTTTACTATAGCAGTTTCATACTTATACATATAATATTGAAAGCCACTGTTTGCTTATAAATACTCAGTTGATATTGTTGATTGATGACCTTCTTGAAATAAAGAATTAATCTTCTTTCATTTTCTCACTTCTATTGCTCTCTTGTGAAATCTCCTCCAACAACTGTGCCTCCTTTAAAAAAAACTTCTAAATCATTCTTTCTAATTTATAGAAAAGATAACTCATGAAGGTTTGTGAATTTTAGTGTGCTAAAATATATATCCACTATAGAAAAACACTGTGTTTTGAATCTGTACTTTTACACTTCAACAGAATTTATAGCCTATGTGGAGCAGTGACAGATACAATTTTCAATGAAGCTTTAGAGACAATGTTCATGCTGAATTTTCAAACCTGCTAAAAACTTTTTTTAAAAAATCAGCTAAGCCTCAAATATATTTTTACTTTTAATCAGCAATAAGGAATCTTGAAATACTGACAGAAAACATTTGGGCTTTGTTTTTTAATCAAGGAATTCATTAGTGAAGCATGGCTCACTAATGAAAAGGATTGAAAACAGAACATTATGCTTTCAGTTTTGACATTCTAATCTTTTTGTTGTTATGAGATATAGACAGATATTTTTCTTCATACAGTTTCAATGGTAATGCTGAAAAATAATAATTAGAATTTCATGTATTACATAGTTTTAAATGTTTCAGACATTTGTTGGAGCTGAGAAAGGACACAAATATTCATTTGATTTAAAGTTCACATTATGAAGGAGTGTAGAGTATTTTCAAAGACTAACATTAAAACATGAATATATGCAATATTAATGAAAAACAATACGAAAAAGCCCTAACATTTCAAACACTTTAGAAATAAATATATTGCCCAAATGATAGTAGCTAATTAAAAATCTCCTTAAATTTGTAGATATATTATTCTTAAAAACATTAAGTGGCTGTGTCCTTAAGTGATTAGTGCTTTATACAAAATTCCACACATACTCAATTTGGGGTATATCATTTTATCCAAAGTACTAAGCATAGTATTTAATTTTTTAAGGCATTGAAAGGACTTACTGTCTATCATAAAAAATGTGATTGTTTTTATTAATATGTGTTTGAAAAATGATGTTCTATTTGGTTTGGATTAATAAAGTTGAGGAAATATTTTACAATGTGTACTGAATTGTTTTTTTTCCTATTCAAATTCATGAAAACAAATTTTTACATTTAACAAAAATTTTAGTTGGATAAGAACAGTGATTAAAAAATAAAATACAGAAGAGTGAAGAAAAGATAAATATAGAGACAATTTCCAGCAATGATGAGATAGAGTTTAATAATTGGACATCTTTTTTCATTTTCTGAAATTAAACATAAGGTTTGTTCCTTTCAATAATCATTTTCCTAAATAGAAGGATTGTTATATGAATTGTGTGGTCATCATATGATAGGGAGATATGAATTTTCCCAAAGCTGGGAAATTAGCAAGACCTTGTCTTCAAATAAAATAGTAAACATTAAAAAGTCCTGGGGATGTAGAATGGTAGAGTGCCCCTGTGTTTAGTTCCCAGTAAGCACTAAAGAAAAAAAGGTATGGTAACAGGGTGTGCTCATAAATTACAGCGATTACCTCCTTCTGTATATTCTGATGTTTACAGAGTATGTTTTAACCTCAAATTTGTTTTTATCATTATTCCAATATGGCAACCAGAGGCAGTTTAAGTGACATACTGCCTCATTCTTGTCCATCTAACCTGGTTTTCCTATATTTCCATTGTAAGAGGAGGAAAAAAATCTTTCCCAAATTGTGGAAAGTTAACTTCCAAAACTTAACTAACTAGAATTGGGTCACAGGTAAAGCCCTCCAATGTGGATGCAGATAAGATCAGCTTCCATTGACACCTATGCAAATAGGTTTATACTGAGTAAGATTAGTATTTTGTTGGGAAGAAAACCTTAAAACCTAATTCTATATTTTACTAGATTCAAGATTTATTTCCTGACAAATATCTGGATATGCAGATACTAAAACTGAAGGTGCTTCCTTATGTATCCTACCTATAGAGTTAAACTTTTATCTTTTAAACTTTGTGCTTAAGATTCTAGGAGGCAATTCTTGCCTTTGCATCTAGCACTTCAGAGTAAGTTTGAGTCTAGACACACACACAAAAAAAATTTGTTTGAATCTTGGTTGTTGATAGATGAGAAGCTGGCAAAATTTTTCTTTTTGATATACACGTGTGGGAATACTTAATACGTATTAACCTGTGGTCACTGCTATTGTATGAAAATGAAGAAAATTTCAAAGGGTATTTAGAAGAAAATTAGGAATTAAGGACTCTATCTCTACATCTTAAAGAATTTTTTCAAATGGAATAATAGAATATATTTTACAATAAATGAATAAAAGTGATTCTGAGTTATATAGGTGTCTGTGCATATTTATGTATGTGTGTGTGTGTGTTGTGTGTGTGTATATATATATATATATATATATATATAAACAAACAGTATAAAACAAATATGTATAATGTTAATTCTTTGGTAAGTATAAACATTTTCTCCAAAACTATATTTTTAAAATAAAAATAAGTAATTAGAAAAACAATCAATCTTAGTTTGAACCACTTTTTGATATATTGGTTAGCAGATAATAACATTCTAAATATATTGTAAAGAACAGCATCTTTTTCATACTTTATGTTCTATATATGATTAAATGTGTAAGTTGGATTACTGTGAGGAATAACTGAATACCAGGATTTTCCACAAGTTGATAATGACTCTATGAAGACTAGGTATTTAAAGTAAAAGATATGAAAGACCTATTTCTAATAGGTTATTGTGAATATCAATGTAATCCATAAATATTCATGCAAAGAGTGATTATGTACTATTTTTTGGAGTCTTCAACCTAGCTTAATGTTAAGAAATATTTTGCATCTCAAATACAAGATGGCCTTTTATTCATTTCATGTTTTTAAAAAATAACATGTAGGAAATAATATTGAATATTTGTGATATGTGTGTGCATGCATATCTCTTTTCTGTTAACAAAGTATTACTTTGAGAAAACTTTCATGTATAACACTTAAATGTGTAACACTTATATTTATACCTTCATGTATAACAGATAAATGTTTACAACACTATTCATTGAGAAACCTATATCACATCTTGATTCTTGACTCTATCTGTAAGGAGATCAGCAACCACAAATTAGCCACAGATACTTTCTCTGACTTGGTTCTCTAAATTTATGTTATTCCCAGAGAGAAGAGCTTGGGTTTTATTATTACAAAATAGTTTCCATGTTAAATTCTTTATACTTCCATGTTCTACAAATTGTCTAATTAACCTTAAAATTCAACTTTACATAATCCATTTTAATTCATCTCAATTAGCTTACCATTCATGAATAAAGCAGAAGAAAATAGGAAAACTAGAATTAACCCTCTGTACACTGTGTGATAAAATTTTATTGGTGTACATTAATCATACAAGGTGGGAAATTTCACTGTGGCATATTCATATACACATATAACAAAATTTGATCTGTATCACTCCAATACCTACTCTTACTCTCCCTGACTCAGATATATACCCTTCCTCTATACCAGTCGTCTTCCTTCTACTCTCATAACATCCTTTCCTCCTCTTTTCCCCCTCTAGTTTCCACATGAGAGAAAACATTTGACATTTGTCTTTGAAATTCTGACTTATTTTACTTAACATAATGTTTTCAAGATTCCTCAATGTTCCTGCCAATGACATAATTTTGTCCATCCA